GCGTTTTTATAATGTCCTACTCGATATAATTAAAGTATAATGTCGACCTTTTTGATTTTGGACATAAATTAGGTAAAACAATATTATTATATTACTAAATTTATTTGGCAACGGCAGTCATAAATAACACGATAGTGGTTAAAATTCAATCAGTCATAATTTTAACCAGTTACTCATGTGTTGCTACACATTCTACGACGCGTTGTAATATGTAAATTTATCACATCACTCATAAAACTTGATGTACGTTTATTGTAAAGATATGTAAATGTTCACGGTTGTTCTCCATCGTTTACCTATTCCCACTGTTGGGTACAGCTCTCCTGTCTAATAAGAGAGATGGTTTTAGATCCTTGGTTCACTCTTGTCAGTTGTTAGGCTCGTCAATATAATTTATTTATCGTTGTCAAAATATTGCTCTAAAATTAAACAATTTCTTTATCATAGAGTAAGTCAGACGAGCACAGGGATCACTTAATGGTAGCCTAGCCATGTATCATCTATTTAAATAAAACACTTTAACCTTTAAAAACGTGATTTATTTTAGGTAAACTTGTTTGAGAATTATTTTTAACTACGGCCCGACGTTTCAGATGCTTTGCAACAGCCGTGGTCACGGAGAGACGGGTTTTGAACCGTCAATGTGTTTTATTGAAAGGTGTACTACTCGCGTAAACTACAGACAGCATTTCATTTATCAACTAAACAAGATGCGATGTCGACGTATTTTGACTTTAAATAATCAGAAATAACAGACTGAAGCCGAAACGCGATTAAACTTCACAGCTTCATCGTCTGTGGGCGATGTTTCGTGACACGCATGGAATTTCGATGCTCCTACCCACAATTTAATATTCAGATTTCTTGGACTTAGCTGACAGGTTGGATGTAGCTGCACAAATGACTAACAGTCGCTCGATTGCTTTAAATTTTAATAATAATAACTACAAAAGATTTACTAAGCAACTTTTTTGGAGTATGTTAGTCATCTAACGCTATGTGTTTTAAGAGGAATAACTTACAAGGTCTAATACTTAATTTTGTTTAATTACAGTGTAGAATTGCTTGTTAAAAGACGAAAAACGTTTTACTTTCAATGGCATCCTTCCCAATTTTATTATACTAATTTAAGATTGTAAAATAAGCTGCATAACTTCACTTTAATACATACCTAACACAATTAGACTCTTATATATAAACAAAACGCAGAAGCTTTATCTAAGTTTATTTCTAGGTACTACGTTTTTTTTTATATTGTCCAAATAATTTTATAGTGAGCTCGCAGCGAGGGGGTCTGATGACTTGTATCACGCGTTACCGATATATAACACGTGATACATACGTATATAGTAACACCTATAACAGGCACTAGACTCTCACAACGTGATACATGTAAAATTACAGTAGCTTGTAAATTCATTATAACATTGTAAAGTTGTGAGTGCTAAATAAATAAATAATAATAATTTGTGAAATAAAAATCGACTGTTCACATTGTTGGCAAGTGAAGTTGACAAGTAATATCGTATAGATAAAAAAATCCTCAAACACTTTTTCATTATAAGACGCGTGTGACTGTTTCTGAATTCATACAGGTATCTTTCCAGACCTCAATGGAATCTAGGTTCCTAAGAAAGGGCCCGCGTAGCGACAATTATGAACACGTTTTTAGGTCAAAAATGTTTTTACTTCACTGGTGGCGTTTGTAAATTGCCCTTCTTGTGAGAAATGGCATCTTTTTTTTAAAAGTACTATTTTATAAAATATCAGCCATAATAATACACTTTTAACAGTTTTAATCATGAAATATATCATCTGTCCTCAACTTCAGCAAAATATTAAAAACATTAGCTATTAATTAAACCAAAACTAAAAATTAATGGTAAAATTAAGTATTATGTTTAAGCGATAACAACATTTTCCGTAGTATATTCGAGTAGTATAAATTTAAATAAAACACTTTAAACAGTTTGAAATGCGAAATATATTACGCTAGCGCAGCAGGTTTGATTATGACACTTAGTAAACACACCCTCTATCTTTAGTCCCTCTGTGCTACTATAAAGCATCCGAAAGGTCGGGTCGTAGTTTATAATTAATTTTAAATAAGTTTATTCATATATTTTACGTGTTTAATCGTAAAAAGTATCAGAGTTATTTTAAAATACTTACTCATTGTTAAGTAAAGAATCTCAGATGCTTAGAGTAGATAAAATTATCTTTTTTTCAATTCTAGCGCAGATTGGTTTGATATTACTTAAGTGGCTAGGTCGGTCGACGACAGCTGAAAAAGAAAATGCTTCTAAATTTACCAAGCTTCCCAGTTCGGCGAGTCTCCAAGGTGAAGGAAGTAATTTCAAAAGTTGGGCCATAAAATTGTACAATATTATGTAAGTTTAAGTCCATCATTTATTCTCAACTATCATTTGTACGCTGCTACAAGTTTAAATTGGGGTTCCTCAGTAAAATATTGTGAAGTTCTTACATAGCTTTCTAATGCAATTGATTATGGGATAAAGAAAACATGGGAAATTAAAAAAAAAAAATTAATAAAATTAAATAAAAATTTAGTGCAATACAATGTGAAAAATATTGATGTTTTCAAAAACAAATTCATTAAAAAAGTTACTATGTATCTTTCTAATTTCTTCTATATATAACCTGAATCCCCAATTTAAAAATATGTGACCCTTCCTTCTGTAGTGCGTAGTAATCTGAACTAAGAGCGTTAATAAGTGCAGTAAGTAGCGATATAAGTTTCATAATATAATATATACAAGTGGAAGCGAATACGTCAGAATAAATTACCTTCATAATGGATGATACTCCGAGGAATTAACTAGAACTAACCGCAGGAGTCTTTCATACGATTTTCATTTTCACTGCATTTCCTACGTAAAAGTCAGTGTTGTATGCAGTTAGCAGGAAGCTTTGCGTTTGTTTTAAGACTAATAATATTAGTCTTACGCATTTAATGTTGATTCTTGGTTTAATTTTCCTAATGTAGATAAGTAACTAGTAAATTTATAAATAAGTTTAACTAATACATTTCGCGTCTAAAACCGTTAAAAAACATTCATTTAAATCTGTTATGTTTCTAATACGTTTATGTATATCTCTATCTCCTATCTTTTCCTGTTTGAATCTATTATTCTAAAGCTAACAACGTTTAATAAATATACGTATAGAGTATATATGTTAAGTCATACAAACAGACACCATCCATTTTCTTCTATTTATTCTAAAAAGATTTCTCCTTAATTAAAAAGTTTTCTTTTCACAACCAGTGGAGCAAAACAATCGAAGACAAAAGAAACGTGTCGTTTGTTAAAAGGATCTGCCAATACGTTTGTATTGTTTAGCTGTTTCATTATTATTTACGTACTGGCTGACCTGGCTAACGTTCTTTTGCCATATTTTGATAAAATGTTTTGCCCTAAAAACGGTTGTTAGGCGTTTCTGACATTATTGACATATTATAATATTAACAAACAAAGAAACAAACTCTTCATCTTTATAATATAAAATAAACAAACTTAACGGTTTAAAATGTAAAAATATTAACTTATTTAACTTGACCTGACTAATCAACATCTTTGGGATTAGGGACAGCCTCCTTCTTCAGTCCTCCTGTGACAAAGCATCCGAAACGGTCCATAGTTAAAAAAAATGAAATAAATTTAGTTAATGTAACTTTGTAAATTAGTAAGTAAATACTGTCTATAGTTTACGCGAGTAGTACACATTTTAATAAAACACTTTAACAGTTTAAAACGCGATATATTAGTTAAACTTATTTGAAAATGATTGACAGCAGCCGTGGTCACGGGTAGTACGTAGTCTCCCCATGACCACGGCTGCTGCAAAGCATCCGAAACGTCGGGCCGAAGTTAAAAATCATTGTCAATTAAGTTTAACTAATATTTCGTCTTTAAAACCGTTAATTATTTATTGAAGTGATTAATTAAATTTGATATTAGAACAGATTCTACACAAAGCAAAATACTCTTTATCTATCTTTACTTCGAAATATATGAGTAAACCATTGGCTTCCCACACTTCAACGTAGACAGAAAAACACGGAATTACGCAACTATCGTTGCGGGTTAGTAAGCAATATAATAAATTGTGTTTCACAATGGATTGTACCCGAGGGAGCGAGGCGAGCTAGCGAGATAGAAATACTTAACAATGTACGCGAACATAACTAGAAATACGAATCTAGCTCGTTATTAGAATCACTCGTTATTACAATTTCATACCTTGGTAAGATTATGATAACATTTTGCGATGAGAAAGTATGGCTAATAAATGGGACACGGGTTGGATCCCCACCGGGTCCATCGTATTTCTAATCGATGTGTAATGGTTTACAAACATGTTGGTAAAGCGACCAGAGAAATATGTCTGTAAAATTAATCGGAACAACATTTTCCAAAAGAAATAATTTATGATTACAGAGTAAAAAAAAGTATGTACCGTAGTTTATGTGTGTGAAATCCCGTTTCCCCTGGTGGGGCATGGGCGAACACATTTCTGTGCCTATTTCACTGATCGGTTCTATTTACAGGCAAGTAGTTGATCAGACTTCTGTGTCCTGCCCGACCGAAACAATTTTCTGTTTCCCCGGGATTCGAACCTAGGACCTCTCGCGCTTATCGCAATGTTAGGCGACACGTTTAACCATTTAGCTACAGAGGCGGTCAGTAGTCCGTAGTGTATGTGAGTGGTATATTTAAATAAAATACTTTTAACGGTTAAAAACGCTTTAAAATCGTTTATTTACTTATCTCTTCATTTCTGTTTTTTAGTATAAGCATACCACAATTAAACAAAGAATCTTATGTTTTATAAGGAACTGAGAACAATTTCAGTGAGAGTGACTTGTGTAAAGTGTAATGCGAGTGAATTATAGAAGTAAGATGCAGTGGGAAGGTGGAGGGAAATACGCGGATTGTCTTCTATATGTTTTGCTTGCGTAGACGCCACTAAACGCCAGGATGGATAAGATGTCGGCAGGTATGACTTTGCTTTTTTAATTTACATATATATAAAATATTTCACCCACCCCCCAAAATTTCCGCAAGTTGCCAATTTTTATCATATTTATGTCATAACTGTAGTTGAACGTCCAGTAAAAATTAATGGTAACTTTGTAAATTAGTAAGTAAATACTGTTGACGCGAGTAGTACACCTTTAGATAAAACATTAACGGTTTAAAACGCGATATATATTAGTTAAACTTGTTCGGAGATTATTTTAGTCTCCCCGTGACCAATTTGTTGCTGCAAAGCATCCGAAATGTCGGGCCGTATTTAAAATCATTTTCAAATAAGTTTAACGAATATATATTGCGTTTTAAACCGTTAAAGTGTTTTATTTGTAAATGTCATTACTTGTCAAAATAGATTTGTAATTTATATAATGCCATCATGTGCAATATTCATCTTCAGCAATTTTAACTTCAATGAATCCTCAACTTTACAGCATAGAACATAAAACCTTATTTCGCAAGACTTAAGTTTAAAATTACATGAGGGACTGAATGATCATGGGTTGAAAAATTAATTGATGACGTGTAGATGAATTGGTAAAAGCAGCAGCAACGAACGGTGCGGCTGGTGGTTTGGGTTCTGATTTCCGTTGTCGTTACTTCATTCAAATTAATTTTTGATTGTCAACCATTTTAAGCGCGCACCTCACGCGCTATTTATTTTTTCATGATAGCTTGGTTAACATCAATGGCATATACAGGTTCGTTATAAATACTAACTTATAAAATACACGCAAATTTTTATTAAAACCAAACAAAATATCTTTTGAAAAGATTTAATCGTTTTTATAACACAGCCTTACCTAATGATTAGTTGAAACTGTAGAAGATCAAATTTTCGTTTTTAAAATCTACTAATTTACTATGATTAGTAGATTTTTTTTTAATTTTCCATTAGTCTACTATCTGTATAATTATTAATAAGAAATATTTATGGTAAGATTGTAATAAAGGTTTTTTATTCAAATTGTCAGTATTAATATAATGAAGTATTGAAATAAATACTACTTTATGCAGTAATTATTATTCAAAGTGTCTAGCAAAATGCCTTCAATGGCCCTAGAAGAGCTCTTCAAACGGAATTTAAATGAGAAAACAGAAATATTTCGTTTCATTAACGGACGGATCGCAGTTGCATAATGCTCTCGCGAACTAATTCTGGCCGAACTTGCGAAAATCGGATGGCCGCGGAAATTTCCCGGAAACCTTGAGAAAGATTTTACCACATAATAAGCTATCATTATGTTGTATGTATATATTATATTTGCAAAGTACTTAAACACATCTATACAAATATATTAAGCTGACGGGTTTGTTTGTTTTAACGCGCTAATCTCAGGAGCTGAAGGCCTTGTTGGTCTAATGGAAGCAACGTATAATCAACGGGTTGTTCGATCCCTACCGAATTCAACATGTGTCTATTTTTTCAATTTATAATTTTTCTGAAACAATATGTTGGACTTCTGAAAACATTAATATTTTTCACATGTTATTGCACATGAAGGCACTATATAATTTAAAAATCGAAAATGAAATTGAAAAAATTTTCGACTCGGGCAGGACTTGAACCGGCATCGTCAGCTTTCCGTGCTGTTGCTCTTCCAATTGAGCTACCGAGTCCTACACCTCATCGTCGAATATTTTCAACTTATTGATACATGCACCTCTCGCGCAATGTAATTTCAACCTTAACACTTGCGCATAAATTACATTGCGCGAGAGGTGCATGTATCAATAAGTTGAAAATATTCGACAATGAGGTGTAGGACTCGGTAGCTCAATTGGTAGAGCAACAGCACGGTCAGCTTTCCGTAAAGAAAAAATAGGCCGACAACGCATCTTGTTAAGATGTTTAATGGCTGGGGTATTTCACCTCAAGTGAACTACGTGCTTGTCCGTCTTGTGATAACACATCAAAATAGTTTTATTTACTTAGGTAACTGGTGAGGAAGAAAACGTAGTTCAACATTTTTAGTACATTTCGCGTTTTAAACCGTTAACATTTAAAGAATTACAATAAATATACAGATAGTACTCAGGTTTAAATGTATCCCCGTGACGGCTGCTGCAAAGCATCCGAAACGTCAAGCCGTGATTAAATTAGTTTTCAAATATGTTGACCAAATATAAATCGCGTTTTAAACCGTTCAAGTGTTTTGGACTATTCAAAGAGACGCGTTTTAATTAATAATTAACATTTGTTAATAAGCAACTCTAACCAGCTGCCCGGAAATTCTTTTGGAACCTTGCAGAATATTTATTTAATTAATAGTGCACTAGAGTTAACTAATTATCGTGGTATGAAAGTGCAGTAAGAGGGATATTAAATACTAGAACTCGGCCTTAATGCTACTTGCCTTCTAAATTAGTATAATTATGTTATTAACATTTTTTAAAGTAGAGAAAGCTCATCTAATTTGTATCATCTAGGTTACTCTCTTTATGAGTATTATGGTTGCACAATACAAGTATACAAAGATTATTTCAGATTGTGAAACATAAGTACGGGCGGGAATCGAATCTACGACCACATCCGCTTCATAAACCGATAATTGAATTATTTTTAACGGACGTAGTTGTTTTTCGATTTATATCATGGTCAGTAATATTTATTCAAACACTAGATAATAACAATACAAATAAATAATTAAAAGATAAATAAAAACATATTAAAAATGTTCTTATATTTTTTTATATAAACGCCGGAACGCGGAATTTCAAGTCCCTGTCCTATCTATGTAATATCCAAATTTCCAGACAAATGTGACGTCGTCTCACATAACATGTTTCAGAAAAATTATAAATTGAAAAAAAAAAAACATTAAGATACGGGCAGGGTCCGGCATCCACAGCGTTCCGCGCCGTTACTAAAACGATGTAAATGCTGGTTCAACATTTTTAATTTATATAGTGCCATCATATGCAACATGTGAAAGATATTAAAGATTTCAACCATTCGTTAGTTTTGGTACGATACGTAACATTTGTCTTTTTCAGCAGGTTCCGCGGTGGCGATGATAGGGGCGAACCTCCGTTTCGGGTCAGCGGGCGCCACGAACGCTTCAATAGTCAACAACACTAGGCATTGCCCCCCGGGGGGTGCTGCCAGCGCCGCAGCGCTTTTGGCTCTCTCCAGCCTCGGCATGTCCGCTAATATAGCTCTGATGGCGGTTATCCTGAGCAAAAAGCAGCTGAGAAGGTATTTTAATGGATCATTTATTTATTTGGTTTTTATATGAGATATATTTTTAACATATATGTCAAATGGAAACATTACAAATTTCATATCTATACTAATATTATAAATGCAAAAGTAACTCTGTCTGTCTGTCTGGCTTTAACGCCGAAACTACTGAACCGATTTAATGATGACCTTTTTAATGCAAAAAAAAGGGTTGTTAGGGGTTGAAAAGGGGGGTAAAAGTTTATATGGAAATTCATAATTTTTGAAGCTAGAACAATGAAAATTTCTTCATTGAATTTTTGGAAATGGGAGTGAGAGCGGGGGTTAGGGTAGGAGTGATGTGAGGTGAGAGTGTGAATATTGCGGCAAAGTAGCACTTTCCACACAGATTGGCTGCCTTGAATGCTCCCTTTTATAATAAATAAACAGCCTAAATAAATAAAAATTCTACTCAAAGTCACTATTTCACGCGGACGAAGTCACGGGCACAGCTATTCATATAAAGGTTCACAGCTTAAAAGGCTTATAGACAATATATTGTAAGTACTGTCTTTAGTTTAAACATGTAGTGAACATTAAATATAACTTTCAATGTTTTTAAACGTGAACTATATTAATTAATATAGTTAAATAAACCACTTTTAACGCTTAAATATATAAATATGTTAGTTAAATTATTGTTATTAAAAATAAACCACTTTAAAGATTTAAAACGCGATATATTTTTTTATTTAACTTGTTTGAAAATTATTTTTAACTACGGCCCGACGTTTCGGATGCTTCGCAGCAGCCGTGGTCACGGGGAGACTAAAACATATCGCGTTTTAAACCGTTAGTGTTTTATTTAAATTTGTACTACTCGCGTAAACTACAGACAGTATTTAAATTATTGTTAATTTAATTTAACTACTGCCCAACGAAAACTTCGCAGCAGACGTGATTAGGATGAGAAATTAAAAATAAGTTAACGACCATATTTGGCGTTTTAAACCGTTGAAAGTGTTTTATTTATATATGAAGTACTTGCGCTAACTACAGACAATACTTACTTAATATCGTTTTATATCTCATAAAAATTTTGGCGCTTTAACCAAAGACAAAGCACTCAGTGTCACCCTTCACTAATTACATGAATATATATGGCACAAACAAATCAATATATTATCTTAATGGCAGTTTACGGATTTCAATAACTGTATACATAATTCAGTTGAGTTAGTATGGTTATTGCTGCACTTACAGCTCCTTGCTCTAATGATGGCAAAGTGTGTGTCGTGGGGTCGTCTTCGGTTCCAACATTATTAACGTGTAATTTTTTAAAATCGTGTTGGACTTCGTGGATGTTAAATGTGTGGTAGAAATATCTAAACCCCCTTCGTCTCACAAACCACATAGATGGAAAAAAGCTGTGAAGTCACGTTTCAGTCTCAATATGTGGATTTCGAATATCCAAAATGGCCATAATAGGTCGACAACCTATCTTGCTGAGGCGTTATGGTTGGGGTGCGATACTTTCCATCAAGTGAATGTAATTTTTGCCTGTATTTCTCTATCATAAATAAGACACTTTTCTGGGAAAACAGCAATTATAGGTAGAATGTCGAAATAATATTTAAACAATTAAAATAGCAAACATTTTACAATTTGAGGGGCATTTTGATCTTAACTGTATGTACACCGGTGTTATTGTTCGGTCTTGCACAAAAATATATTTTCTGAAAAATATCGGTGTTTTAATGAGTTTAAAATGAATAAATAAAAGAAGCCTTTTTCGGTAAGTCGTTTTATCGTGAATAATAAAATTAGTCTCATTTTTACGTTATTTTCAACAATATGTAACAAAATACTGTCTATAGTTTAATATGTAACAAGGCAAAGAATAAGGATTTTGTATAGAAGTAAGTAGCAATATTTTAGTGTATGTAGACATATTTAACTATTAAATAAACATCTAAAATCAGTTTTATATTTATATACTGCCATAACGTGCAGTAAGATTTGAAATATCGAAGTTATCAAATATTTCGCTACTGTCATTTCTTTATACTGTGCTCGCACATGGAAAATTCAGTCGTGCCCAATCACGTAGACGGGAGTCAGCAATTCGTGTTCCATCAGTATGATAATGTTAATATTGGTGCCGACTTCAATATCCTTTAATTGCTTTTCTCATTGCGTCAGCCATTTGGGGGGGTTGTGACATTATTTTAGCGGTTATTTTTTGATGAAAAATAAAAATCAACCGATTTAAACGCGACAGGACCTTAATTTAAATTTAAAGAATAGCTTTCACTATTTACATAAAACATCTCTAACAGTTTAATACAAGAAATGTATTTATTTATTTACGATTTTAACTAAACCGTTACAAATGTTTTTTTTTTATGTGTATTATTTAGGAAAACTGCTGTTGATAACGCGCTGGTAAAGTTATAAAATTTTTTGAAAAAATACGAAAAATAAAACTTTTGATACCCTCAATAATGGTGGAACATTTCCCAAAAAATGGCTATTAAATAAGGCAATAGGGAATTAAGATAAAATTAAGGAAAATAATAAGGATTCACCAAATACAATTAGTTCTTTAGGCTTCACACACTTGTAATTAGTCAAAAGTGGTGACACTACCCGCGCGGTGTCCGGTAACTGCCTTAATTCTGTTGGGCCAGTCTTCACTCCTTGCGGTGAGGTGTGCGGGCAGGAGGGGTAAGCTATTGGTGGGAAGGACGTAGAGGACATGGAAGGTCGTTTTGGATACCTATTGCCTAGTTCAACCAAATCCAGTCCCGAAGTAATAAATTTTTTTTATGCCTGTTCATTTTGTGTATATGTAACGGATAACATTTTTTGCATGTTTTAAGTATGTTTAAATTTAATCAGTTACATGCATATAGTATCTTTAAACTTTTACATACACCATAAAATAAAACAATAGATATATAGTATCAGGCTATCCTTACCGCTAGCAGTCATTAAAAGATTTAATAAATAACTTTTAAAGTTCCAATTAGTTGTTAAACTCATAAACTTTCTATTAACAAAACTCGAAAGAAGTTTAACTATAAAATCTCCTTTATTAGTGCTGGGGTGAACATGAAGACATTTTTAAATAGATCCGATTAACGATAAACACGATTTTAAATAGATTTTAAACACTTTTAACGGTTTTAAATACGAAATGAATAGTTAACTATTTCGGTTTTTAAAACCGTTAAAAGTGTTTAAAACCACAGTTGAAAGGGTTTTATTTACATTCTACTCGCGTAAACTACAGACAATGCTTAATAAACACATTTGGGAACAACGATTGTTTACAAATTATAAACGTAAGTCCTTACCGATCTAAAAATAAATTTTCCGGCTAAAAGACTTAATAAGGGCAAAGAAGGTTCGAGTCTAACAATAATTTAATATTCGAATGAAATAAATTGAATCAAATACGCCCGCCTAAGAGACACGATGGGGCGGGACCAAATTGAGTTTCCTGTACGTGAGCTTTCGCCTAGTTAATTGAAATATTGAGATTTACTTACTCGTGGTATCTGGGCATCTTCACATGGGGTATAGGGTTGATAGTGACGTTCTCTTCTCCTGGATATCAAGGACCAATCAGGGTCGCTGCGGTAGTAGAGTGTACCAAGTAATAGAGTATTTGACGGGCTTCTTGGTGTAGAGATGGGTCGTGAATTCGATCCCCACTAGGTCCTAAATTTTTCTGATTAGTTTATATATTTTATTGAAACATGTTGTACTTTGCCTTGAAATCTGAGTGTCGGTCCAAAATACGAAACAACGTTCACAGGTGAAAAAAACGTTTAATCGCGTTTATATTCGTCAAAATGGATCGACAGCACATCTTTTTTAAACGTTACAAGGCTGGGTTATTTTACTTACCATCAAGGGAACTATATGCTTGTCTGTCAATTCTCAGCCATAATTATGAAATATTTCTTATATACTTGTATTGGATCCTATGATGTGAACTGACTAGTTCTCTTGTATTTTTTTCCCTTTATATTCATTCACCTTTAGACCTGATCATCAAATTCGAGCTTTCTAGGTCACCTGGACATACTTTTGGTCAGTCAACTAAACAATCGTTTGACGGATTTATGAAATTTGAAATACGTTTGTATCTCGCGGCTATCAATATTTATGCCGAATTTAACTGTTTTATTTAAAAAAGTTTTCGAGTTATGAGGAGGTGAAAATTGGCTCCGCACGTAAATTATACACAGTTACACAGTTCCTCGTCAGTTCACTTGAACGGCTGATATACGTTTGAACCTTTGAGAATATCATGCTTAACGCAATGCGGCCACTTTTTTACAACAGACAAGAACAGATAAGGGTGGGATTAACTTATTGGAAGGTGAAATCCACCAGCCATATAACATCCTATCTGGCTCTGCATATTGGGATCCACAGACTAAACCAAAACGCCATTAAACGCGATGACTTTTTCACCGGTGGAAGGTTGTTGGTGACCTGGACGGACGATATTCCTACCCATTTAATAGTTTTATGTTTTAGAAAAATTATAAATTGATTAGAAACATGACGGCGGGGATCGACCCACGACCCGACCAACGAGCCCGTTAATCTGTTTAGCTACGGGGGCAGCGGATGTAAATTATATACTATTTGTATATAATTTACATCTTTCTTTTGTATCCGTCCTTTTAGTAATACGATACATAAGAACACGTGGGAGGAACTCAAGTACCACTTCACATAACAAAAGACCTCATTAGGGCTTCGAGGAAGACAATCGTTCACATTTTTTTCAGGGATTTGTATCGAAAAAGATCAAAGGATGTGATATATACATATTTTATGCCACTTAAGTCCATATTTCAAGTGTATATAGGTTGTCTCTCTTTTTTTTCACTATTTATTCGAGTGTGGTACCACATTATGGTTTTACTGAAAATCAGTTTCAGGTCAACATAGCGACTGATATAGACACTGCTGAGTAAAATCCTATTCTACCAACTTGCAACACTCAATATTGT